AACATTATAATGGAATGAGCAGTCATTTCTAGTTTCTGCTTTTGGATTTAACCCTGCTGACACAGATGTCTCCCCATACCCTAGTTGTTGAAGGTTTTCTGGAGGTCAGGAGTTGTACTTTATCACAATTCCATCCTCACAACAACTATGTTGTTGTTATATGCCATCAAGTCACCTGCAACTCATAGCAACCCATGCACACAACAACCATAGACAATCATTATTATTAATACTATATATGAGGAAGTCAAGGTAGAGAAAGAAACTACAATGCAATCCTGAAGACACATGGTTCGAATCCACCACCTAGCTGCTAGTGAGATAAAAAAGATGGACAATTTCCTCCCGTGCAATGAAATTGTCTCTGAAAACTGGCTGAAGGGTCAGCTATGGATCAATTACTACTTGATGGTACACAAGAAGAAAAACATCAAAAGCAGAGAGTGCAAAGGTGGGTCTTCCTAGCTGCACTACTAATTATATACTGGACTACTGTTAGAGTCCTTGGTTGTACCTAGTTTGAGATCTATCTTCTTATGATTCTGCACTGGGCTAGCTTATCTCATAAATCACCTGTATTGATATCATTGTGTGTTACATCTGCCAGGTGACATATGCACATATTAACCAGAGTCCATCATCTCTGAAGCAACTGGGCACTCATCATGGGAATCTCTCTCAGGCCTTCCAGCTGGTAGGTCAGTTAGAGGTTCAAGGCCAGCAGGCCTTACATACATCTTTCAAAGAACAGCACATGGGCAAACAGCTCTTCAACTGCCACAGGAAGCTGCTGGGGAATATGGCATTACTTCTAACTCAAGTTTAAAAATCTGTATGTTTCCCAGTTGCCACAAATTGCCCATAATAATCATAGAATGATGGTGAAAACTAATTCATGTTTGACGGTCACTTGGCCCTGATTTACTTCTTGTGTTAAATCTGGACTAGTTATGTAGTCCCTCTGAGCTTCTTATCTGAGTACAGATAAGTTAACTCATTTGAGTTTCAGGTTCTCATGTGTAAAATGGATGTTTTAGGGGCAGAGGGAGACACAGACTGAAGCAGAAGCAAAAAATTAGCTAGTGAAAGAGTAAAAGAGATTGTGGGATGCTCATAATCAGGGCTGCCTAGACTTGAATAAACAAAACGAAACCAGCTGCAAAGAGTCGGTTCTGACGCACAGCCATCTCCTCTTATGTCAGAGCAGAACTGTGCTCCACAGGGCTCACAATGGCTCACTTTTCAGACGTCAACAGTCAGGCTTTTCTTCCAAGGCTTCCTTCTCTGGGTTGGTTCTAACATTCAACCTTTATTGGCTGACAGCAGAGTGCTTTAACCTTTGTACCACCCAGGGACACAAATAGAAAGGTGGGGATCAGTTGGAAGCTCACTACATTGGATGCAGGAACCCTGGTGGCACAAATAAGTGCTGAGCTGCTAACCAAGACGTCTGCAAGTAGAACACACAGTCATTGACTCCCAGGGAGAAAGATGTGCAGACGGTTTCACCAAAGATCCTATAATTCTACTCTGTCCCGCAGAACCACTAGGCTTCAACTGGCTCAAAGGAGATGGATTTGGTTTGGCCCTGTAAGTACCGACCCAAATACCTGAGACTCAGCTTGGTGAGTTGGATGTCCTATTATGGTAAAAGCCCTAGATGGATCGGACCTGTCAGTCTACTCTGCTGAGCCACACACTGGGAGTTCCTGCCGGAAAGCAGACCCTCACCCTTTTCAGGTGAGAGGTTTCTCATGAAGCCAAGTAGCAGGATATAATCATGCACCATCTCTCACCCTCTGAGCACTGAAAGGTTGCCTGGGTAACCAGAGCTATTCAGGGCCTTCTCAATGGGATTCTGACTTCCTCACCCAGACCCCACGGGCTCCCTTTGGCCTCACATTCTGCACCCCCTGTGGAGACTTCTGCTTTCTGCCTCGTAGGATCAGAGAGGCAAAGGAAACTAGAAGGAACTGATCACTGATCGTGAGACTGGCCCTTAGCATTTTATTTCCTTATCATTTTATTTCCTTAGTTACGGCACATTTCCATTTATGGAGTGCTTTCCCTTATAAAAATCTCCCAGTGTTTACTTCTTATCTACTAAATAATGCTTCTGACCCCTTCTTGTTCCTATCCTTTAAATATCTGTAGATGGTTCATTCACCACATTCCTCATTCGGTTATTAATGGCCCACAAAAGCTCACTAGCAGCAATCATTTACTGATTAATCTACACAACAATCCAGAAAGACAGGTAGTATTAATCCTTAGTGCTGCAGAGGGAAACCAAGGGGGAATGAGAGGTTAACACTGTTGCTCAGCCTCCGTGGCCAGGCAAGACTGTAACTAGGATCCATCCTGACTTACATTTCCGTAACTTAGCACATGCAATCTCTTTACAAATCAGCATTATCCGTGCAGCTCAAGTATTTCTAGGGTGAGATTCTATTATCACAAAATTATTTAAAATGATCAAATTTTCCCCCAAATCATCCTGTCTGCTCATAGTTCACACATTAAAATTGCTAAAGTTCCTCTCATTGCATAGAAACTTGTAATAAACTGCATATAAAGCTTCACTGCCATTTTTATAGAGGTAAGAAAATAGAAATGAAATTAAAACAATCATAAACCACCTAACACTGCTAGCCTCAAAGCAAAAAAAGTCAGAGCCACAGCTGTCGAGTGGAACGTGATTCATAGCTGACCCTCCAGCAGGTTTTCAAGAGTCAACTGCATGGGAAGAGAATGTTCATCTCTCTCCCACAGAGTGGCTGGTGGATTCGAACTGCCAGAGAGGGGTGGCCTTTGAGGTGCCAGCACAGTTCTCTGAAGACTAAGCTACTGGATCTACATATGTATCCACTAGACTCTAGGTAGGGAGCTCTGGTGGCCTAGTGGCAAGAAACTGGGCTACAATCCTGAAGGCACACAGTTCAAGGCCTCTATCTGCTCCACAGAAAAGGAGGGACAATCTCCTCCCATATGATTAACTGCCTCTGAAAATCCACCAGAGGGTCAGCTCTGGGTCGGTTCCGACTCGATGGTACACAACAATACTCTAGGAAAGTCACTTCTCTGTAATTCCAATATATCTGTAAAAATGAAATAATTCTTGAAAGCTAAGATACTTTGCTTTTTAAATGACACAACTAAATACCTACTAAAATAACACAAAAGTCGTAAAGCTCCAATACCCAGTGGTGCTATGATCTTGGTAGCATTGATACATTCATTCATTGCTAATAAAGTATATTACTGCAATCCCCTTAGAAAGCAAGACAGCAATATGTAGCAAGAACTACTAAAGATTCTATATCCTCTGACTTAGTACACTAATTCACAGATAGTTTATTCTGAGAAGCCAATGGACACCAAAAGAAATAGACACACACAAATGTACATCTCAGTACTAGTTATCCGAATAAAAGCTATAACCATCCAGAGATATCTTAATGGCACAACAAACAATATGAATGTGATGCTTAAATTTTTTGAAATGTAAAACATATATAGGTAAAAAAAATAAAAAAAAAAATAAAAAAAAAACAAAAAAAAAACATATATAGGTAATTCCCAATTTACAGTATTAGTTATAGCAAAATTCACTTATAACCAGATGTGGTTGGTTTGTTTGTTTTTGGTGTGTCATATTGCTGGTAATATCTACTACATATAATGTTAGTGTATGTAATTTGCTGATGTTGTCATTCTCATATGTTCACTTGCAGATGTAAATATATATATTTAAAAGAGATACTCAACACCAGAATCCATTTTATGACATTCATCAGAATAGAAACAGATCATATATTGAGGACAACCTGTTTAAAAAAAAAAATCCCACAAAAGCATTTAAGAAATTTATCAGTACTATTACGTGAAATAAGAACAAAAGATTAAATATGTGCTGTGACACTAACTATATATAAAATAGGAACAAACATGCAGTTACACATGAAAAAGCAAACCTGTCATCCTAGTGAAGATTATTATTTATTTTTAAAACAGTATTTTAACTGCTTCCCATGAAAACATTAAAGCATATACTAAATATTTAATCATTTTTTTAAATTTTTCTTAAATCCACCTTTAGTTTGATGGAACAAGTAAATGTAAAATTTCTAGTTCAATGTCCTGAGTAATTTTTTGTGTCTGACATATTAGTTACAATATTAGACATGAAGAGTATTTTCTACTTTTCGCTTTATGTCTTTAGAATCTCAGAATCCTTGCACTTCTTTCAATTGACTAAGAGAATTCTTAAAAGCATCTGCCTTGTCACCATGCTGGGAATAACTTATGACTGCTTTGTAATGCCAATTTTTGGCAACTGCCTGACCCACATCCAACATCATGCTCTAACTCTAACTTGTGGATGTGTAAAAACAATCAGGAATTGGCCATTATGCATGTCACAGTGTAGAGGGCAGTTTTATATTCCAAGTGTGGGGAATATTACAGAAGCACACCCTTTTCAGGGGTCTTGCACACCCTCCAATTCACTGAGGAAAGTCCCTCAGAGTTGGCAGCTCCCAGCCTGCCCTGTACCCCAGCACCGCCTCTGGGGATAAGGATGTTTGCGTCTTCCTTCATCTCCCACAAATGATCTCTTACTAGTAGTTCATTTGCACATCTTTGCTTAGACTATCTGGGAAAGATTGCAGAGCCAATGAATTAAAAATATGATTCTAGGTCTCACGTGTGCCAGCGAATTCCCTCATTAAAGCAGAATGAGTGAGATGAGATTGGTTTCAAAGCTTTCCATCCCTTTGCCCCAGAGCCGCCGAGGCCAGGCACTGAAAGATGCACAGTAAAATTAAATATCTAAAAATTCATCTTTAATTAACAGAATTGGATTAAAGCTAGACACCACCGCATATCATACGAGAAATGGCTGAGCCGGCTTCCAAGGGTTCTAATTCAATTAGGACACAGTGAGTGACACTTGGACGGGAAAGGTTAATTGGGGGCGCCGGAACGCAATCATTCCTTACCTAACCAGTCATTAAACTTCTTAACCTCTGAGGGCAGTCCCAGCTCGGTGAAATCGCCTGTGTGGAGAAGGATGTCCCCATAAGGCATCTGGATACCATCTGTTCTGGAGTGTGTGTCTGAGATGCAGACAAACCGCGTGTGGCCCGCTGGTTTTGGAGTGTCATATGGGATGGGGTCGACCCTAAAGTAGACATAACAGATCCCATAACAGTTAAACATATTAGAACCCTCACAATTGTCATCTCATATACACATCCACTATTATCAGTGATCATACCCAGACAAATCAATGCAAAGGTAGAGATAACAAGGGAAATGCTTGGGTGGGGGGAAAACCAGCATTGCCCATCTCCAAGGCCACAGATGCTAATTTTAAAATCTTACTTACCTGCTAGGAAAAGCAAAACCAAAGACTATCTTACATAGAGAGACAGAAATCGCCTAGAAAACTGATAGAGTGATTAATGGTGAAGTTTAGAGATATCGAACCCCAACTGGGGAAGTAAAATTATGCTATTTTGCCTCTCATCATGTTCCAATTGATCCTGCTACTCATTAGGAAACGGATAACTAATTTATTCCTTCTTAAACATGCATAACTTAAGCAATGAACTAATTTGGAGAAGTTAGCATATGCCCTGCCAATTGAGATGTAGAGAGACATGACACTTATATTTAATTTCCTTTTCCCAACCATTCAGCACCTGGATCTGCTAATTTGTGCTGGGAGACCCACAAATTAAATTGGGGGGAGGGAAGGTGTTCCAAAACAACAAGACTTTTTAAAAAAAGATAGATGTTAGAACTTTGTCAAGCTCAGTATTTACCATAATGAATTATCTGCAGTTCCTGGTATACCTTAGGTTACCAGGAATGTTCCCATGCCTTGGGCAAAGATTGTATTCAGTGGGTCTAGTAAGCCTTTTAATGGTACATCTCTATCTACATATACATTAATATATGTATCATTTTAGAGACCTAAGCTCTGTAGAATTACACTAGGGCATACGAATCAAAAGGCAAAATGATCCACCCGAAGCACAGAAAATGAAACAGAACATTCTTATTTAATTGAGTGTAACAAAGTGTACTAAATAAACTTGGTAAAGAAATGCAAATCTGACTCTTCAAGCATACAGTTTTAATTATTTAAGGGCTTGTAGCAGAGTTAAGGATGCTTTAACTATATTAACTCTCCACTGACAGCTCCCTCTAATTTCTCGGTAGAAATGTACACTTATTTTGGATTAAGAGTGGGGAGGAAAACAAAGCAGTTATAAATGCAAAGAGAAGGTCACAAGAGAGGCAAATATGCAATGTGGAGAGTAGAGTGTGAAACATTAAATAAGGAACAATATTTCATAGAACAACTCCACCCTTGATAGTTAAAATGCCGCACAGAACACACTGAAATCCCAACACACCATTCCTTGTGCATGCTGCTTCGACAGCCTTTGTTTAAATGATCTTTCTTTCTTTCTTTTTATAAGAAACAATGAGTTTTATATCTGGCCATTTTAGAGGAATAAAGTCGTTACCACACAACCTAGATAGTCTCATGTCCCTGCCCCCAGGGGCTAATCCTTCTATTTTATCTCAGTCAGAAGAGACAGAAAAGGGGGGGGGGGAAGAATGAAAGGACAAGAGAGGGAGGAACTTTGAACCACTTATCACAGCAAGTCTAATTGGAAGCTCAAAAAGAAAGTTTAGCTTCTGCATAAAATTAATGGACTTTCCCTGCAAAGGTTAGAAATGAACAATGTTGTTGCTACTGAATTCCATGTCATGTGGATCTGGACAGCCTCGTTCCAATGTTGTTTTTAAGAGATTTCCTTTCCATTATTAAAATTCTATTAAACTCAAGTGTTTCTGGCTCCAAACTAACATACTATTTCCAAAAGGAGAGACCTCAGAGAATAGGTGACAATCTCCTGTTGTGGCTCCTGGGTCTCTCCTAAAAGGCATGGACTCCTACAGCAAGTGTTAGAATACCCACTAGCAATACGGGACCAAGTGCAATTGTACGTATCATTATATGTATCACCACCTGAAAGAAAACAGTCAGCCACTGGACTTGTAAATGCATGGCTAAATCTCAGTATAACATGTTATGTGTGACTGTGTGTGTGTGTGTGTGTGTGTGTGTGTGTACACAATATTATATATAACAAATATATGCTGCTGCTGTTGTTGTTAGGTGCTGTTAAGTCAACTACGACTCATAGTGACCCTAATGAAAAACCAGTTGAAACCTTGATCTATCCTGTGCCATCATCGCAGTCTCCAATATGCTCAAGCCCATTACTGTATGTCAATCCATGTCACTGAAGGCTTTCTTCTCTTTCCCAAAAACGTTTATGTTGTTGTAGTTGTTGTTATGTACCATTGAGTTGGGACCGACTCATAGCTGATCCTCCAGCAGGTTTTCAGAGGCAGTAAATAGCACAGGACTTGACTGCCCATCTTTCTCCTGCAGAACAGCTGGTGGATTCAAACCTCGTGCCTTTGGGTTGACAATTTCTTACCACTAGGCCACCAGTGCTCCCTCGTAAAGTAAATGGTCAGTCAAAAAAGGAAGGTCTTCAATGAGATGGAGCGACACAGAGGTTGTAACAACTGGCTTAAACAGAGCAGTGATTACGAGGGTGGTGCAGGACTGGGTAACATTCTGTTGTACGCAGATTAGCTATGAGTCAAAATCAATTCAACGACATCTAACAACACATGTATATAGGCTTTTCCGCTTTCATCCTGGTAATACTAAATGCCCACTCTCATCTAGATTATTTCAATTCACAGCAGTCCTATAGCTCAAAGTTTGAACTATCCCGTTGGGCTTCTGAGGCTGTAAATCTTCATGGGAGCAAACTTATTTTTCTTTCTCAGAGTGACTGGTAGATTCAAACCACTATGTTTCACCAACACTTAATCTACTGTACCACCAAAGATGCCATGGAAATGTATAAACAGAATATTTCTCCCGTCCTAGAATACAATTAAGTAAGACAGCTACTGCAATTAAATGCATTGAGAAACCATTCCAAATGATTGGAGGGATATCATGATCATCGTTTTGAAGTTATTAAACAGAAGATAATACAGACAAAAACCTTTCCCTGTGAATAAGTTCCTGTGATAAAAAATCTACACAGGCTAGGGCAGCAAACCATCACATGGCATGATTTCCAACTTGGGTTATACTGGGCAAAACCACTGAGATTATGGCCAACAACAGTCCATTTCTGGATCACTCCTAACTTCTCTCTCATCCACCTAATCCTCTCGGAGAAATATTTATATGTCCAGGAGAATGCACAGTTAAATAAAGGGTAGGGACCAGAAGAATGTATGTGTGTTTTATTGACTATATAAAAGCATTTCACAGTGTGGATCATAACAAACCATAGCTAACATCAGGAAGAATGGGAATCCTACAACACTTAATTGTGCTCATATGAAAACTATACCAAGAGGCTTTATGCAAACAGAACAAAATTAAGAAAAGATCTGTGTCAGGGCTGTATTCTTTCTTCATATTATTCAATCTATAGCTAATCATTTGAGAAGTTAAACTTTATGAAGAAGAATGTGAGGAAGAAGATTCCTCAACAACCTGCACTAAGCAGAAGACACAAACTTGCTTGTTGAAAGTGAGAAGAACTTGAAATATTTCCTGCAGAAAATCAGAGACTATAGCCTTCAACACAGATTACATATCAGCATCAAGAAAAACAAAACAAAACAAAAAACCCTCATCACTGGGCAATATCATGATAGAGGGAGAAAACATTAAAGTTACCAATTCTGTTATCTTACTTGGATGTACAATCAAATTCCTCTAAACCAGCAGTTAAATCAGGAGACTCATTGTATTGGGCAAATCTGTTGTCAAGGACCTCTCCAAATTACTAAGGAGCAATGATGTCAGTCTGAAGGCTAAGGTGCACATAATTTAGGACATGGTCTTTTCAATTACTCGCTATGCACCTTGGAGCTGGACCATGAATAAGGACAACAGAAGAAGAATCGATGCCTTTGAGTTGTGGTGTTGGAGAAGAGCACTGAATACTTCATGAACTGCCAAAAGGACAAACAGATATGTCTTGGAGAAAGTGCAGTCAGAGTGCTCCTTAGAGGCAAGGATGGTAAAGCTTCATCTCACATATTTTAGAAATGATGTTGCTATTGTTATGTTTTACTGAGTTTCCTACAACTCAGAGCAACCCTCTGTACAAGAAATAGCTCTGAACCCTTCCCTATCGTGAGCCTGTCTGACTGACTCTGACACACCTGTACACATTGCTCCAGTCACTAAGTCAACCCATCTCATCTGGGGTCATCCTCTCCTGCACTGTCAATCCACCCTTCCAAGCATGATGTCCTTCTCCAAGGACTGGTCCTTCATGGTTACATGCCCAAAGTGAGTGAGATGGACCTTCAAAATCCTTGCCTCTAAGGAGAAATCTGGTTTCATTTCACCTCTATGAGGGGCTATTACTTAGAAAGAAATATCATGCTTGTAAAGGCACAGGGCCAGTGAAAAAGAGGAAGACCCTCAACAAAATGGATCAAAGCAGTGACTACAGCAATGTATGTCAGAGATGATGAACACGGCACAGGTCAGGGCAGGATTCAGATCAGTTGTTCAAAGAATCTCTAGGAGTCATACTTGACTTGGCAGCACCTAACAACAAGAAGAAAAAGGAAAGGTAATACAGAAGAGAGCAACATGGGGGAAGTGAATCTAATGTGCTAGGGTGGAAGTAGATAGCAAGGCTGTCCTCACTCAAAATCATCAGCTAACTGGATGAGATCAGTGAGAAACAAGCAACAGACATTTTGGAGCTATACAGCGTTGAGAGGGGTTTGGGGGGAAAATGTACCAGTACAGCCAGCCAAATGCTGAATTTACATAGATCGCCTTACCCAGAAACAAGGATGTCCTTTCTGACCCCTGGGTCTAAGTACAAGTCAAGGGAAGGTTTCAGAAGACAGTAAGAGATGTCAGAGTCACACTGCAGGAGATAAGACAGATATCAACTGGACATCATAGCAAAGGGGACATTTCAACCGAAAGGCACTCAGACTTGAAAATAAGATGTCAGGTACGAGGATCAAGTCACAACAGATGTAATTAAAGTTGAAGGAACTCTAGGGAAATGACAATTCTCAAAACTAGAC